TCAGCTATAGGGAGCTGAAATTATCTACAAAGTTGCACGTACAGTATATCGAGCAGTGGTCCTCCCCACCCTGCTATATGGCAGTGAGAACATAAGAACATAAGAAAATAAGGAGTCTGCAATAGGCCTGTTGGCCTGTGCAATGTGCATGGCAGCTCCTCTCGAGAGTTACTACCACTCTCTATCATCCATGAATCTATCTAGCCTCCTTTTGAAACTTTCCAGAGTTCCCACACTCACTACAAAGTTGCTAAGCTTGTTCCACTCCTACACCACCCTATTTGTGAACCAGTTTCTTCCTATCTCCCTCCTAAACCTAAACTTATCCAACTTGAATCCGTTGCTCCGAGTCCTATCCTGCTCGGATATTATAAGAACTTTATCTATATCCCCTTTATTGATTCCTTTCACCCACTTAAATACTTCTATCATATCTCCCCGCACTCTTCGTCTTTCTAGGGAATGCAAGTTAAGTTTCTTTAACCTATCCTGATACGGAAGGTTTCTAAGTCCCGGAATCATTTTTGTCATTCTTCGCTGCACCGACTCTAGTGAATTTATATCCATTCTATAATAGGGGCACCAGAACTGAACCGCATAATCGAGGTGCGGCCTGACTAGCGCAAGATATAGTTGCAATAAGACCTCGGCACTCTTGTTACTTACACTTCTAGATATAAAACCCAATACTCTGTTTGCCTTATTTCGAACATTAACGCACTGTTTTTTAGGCCGTAGGTCCGGGCTTACAAGTACCCCTAGGTCTCTTTCACAAGTCGACTTCTCTAGGTTGATGTTGTTAAGGCTGTATACATTATCAGTATTTGTTCTTCCAATATTAAGTACGCTGCACTTGCTGGTGTTGAATTTCATTTGCCATTTTTCAGACCACCCCTGCAGTTTATTTAGATCCTCCTGTAATGCATTTGCATCCTGCCCTGAATTAATTTGCCGCCCTATTTTGGTGTCATCCGCAAACTTGCTTATGTCACTGCTGATCCCAGTATCTAGATCGTTTATGTAGATTATGAACAAGAATGGGCCTAGTACTGACCCCTGGGGAACCCCACTGGTTACACGGCCCCACTCAGATTTAACACCATCTACACTGACCCTCTGCGTTCTATCGGTGAGCCATGATTTTATCCAATTTAAAACTTCCCCTCGATACCATGAGCCTCAATTTTTCTCAGAAGCCTCTGATGCGGTACTCTGTCAAATGCTTTGCTAAAGTCTAAGTAAATAACATCGTAATTTTCGTCATTATCTACTACCTCGAAGACTTTCCTAAAAAACGTTAGCAGATTTGTTAGACAAGATTGTCCCTTTGAAAACCCATGTTGAGAGTCGTAGATTAATTTGCTTTTCTCTAGATGCGATCGGATGCAATCTGCTATAATTGATTCAAGAAATTTCCCCACTACTGACGTCAAACTGATCGGCCGGTAATTTGACGCTGATGCTCTGTCTCCCTTTTTGAATATGGGTACTACATTTGCCTGTTTCCACAAGTCTGGCACAACTCCAGTGTCTAATGATTTTGTAAATAAGTTTACGAGGGGTCCGCTAATCTGTTCCCTACACTCTTTCAAGACTCGAGGGAAAATTTCATCCGGCCCTGGGGATTTTGTTTTCTTTAGTTTATTTATCTTCTTAAGAACATCCTCTTTTCTGATAGTGATATTCTTTAACTTCTCTTCTTCCTTTCCCTTAAATATCAGTTCCACCTCTGGAATTTCATCTCAAATTTCTTCTGTGAAAACTGATAAGAAATAGCTGTTCAATGCTTTGCTTATTTCTTCACTGCCATTTATCACTTCTCCCCTCCCTGACTTTAAAGGCCCAACTTTGTCCTTGACCTTTGTCCTATATACCTGGAAAAATCCCTTGGGATTCGCCTTGGATTCTCTTGCTATTTTGATTTCATAGTCTCTCTTTGCTTTCCTTACATTTTTCTTAACATTCCTAGATAGTTCATTATACCTATTTCTGAGCTTCTCCTCCCCTCCCTTTAATTTCTTATATATTCCTTTCTTTATTCCTATGTCAGGTTTAAGTTTTCTGGTCATCCACCTTGGCTCATTCTTATTTGACCTAATTTTTCTGTATGGTATAGTTTGTTCTTGTGCTTTATGTAGTATACTAGTGAATATATTATAGTCATGATCAATTGTTGTGTCATCTATGACCTCACCCCTTCCTACTGGGGACTCTCCTGACTGTTCCCAGGTGACCTCACCTAGGTACCTTCTTAACCCCTGATAATCCGCCAACCGAAAGTTTGGGACTCTGACCATATTGTCATTGTTTTTCGTTTCCCAATTTAGGGTGAACCTGATTTCTCTGTGATCACATGGGTCACATACAGGAGGTACCTCAAGGCACTTGAAAACTTTCACCACCGTAGTCTACGTTCCATCCTCCGAGTTCGCTGGGAAGACAAGAGAACAAATGCCAGTATTCTTGCTGACACCAACTGTAGGAGCATCGAGGCTACCATTATCCATGAACAACTACGTTGGACTGGCCATGTTACCCGCATGGACGACAGTAGACTGCCAATGCAGCTACTTTATAGTCACCTAACGAATAGTGAACGTAACGTCGGCGGGCAATTGAAAAGGTATAAGGATAGTCTTAAGAAAAACCTGAAAAAGTGCCAAATCGACCCCCCTCACCTGGGAGTCGATTACTCCACATCATAACGTTTGGAGGACCACCACACGAGAAGGTGTCAATATTTTCGAGTTAGCCCGACTGCAAACCGAGGCAGACAAGCGCCAACGCCAGAGAGAAGCTGCCACAGCCCCTCCTGTAGTAGATGGAGCCCTTCACTTGAGCAACGAATGTGAACGACGCTGCGGCTCCCGTATCTGTCTCTTTACTCACCTCAAAACTCACTAACCTAGGTGACATCCCTAATAACTCATTTCATTGTATCATAGCTGGATGATCGTCATACTCGATTTCGAATGACAGCAAAGTAGTAGTAGTAGTGTGTGTGTGTGTGTAATAATAATAATAATAATAATAATAATAATTAACGGTTTATTGAAAGAGCTTGGCAGCCAGAAGGCTGAAAATATACAGTTACATATTTGGGGAATGGGTTTCGAATTATAAATAATATACAAGTAACATAAGTGATACAAATAAGATATATAATAACTAGATGGGGAAAAGCTCAAACTACAGTGCATTTCAACATAGTGACAGTGCAAGAAGTAGTATTTACTGTGTGTGAGTGTGTATGTATTTGTTGTGTTTGTAAGTGTTTGTGTGTGTGTGTGTATGTGTGTGTGTGTGTAAGTCGCCATCGCAGATGATTATCAGAAGTCCAATTTGCAAGACTCCCAGAGTTTATCTAAGAACAGATCATTACTAGCTTCTTTAACTGCCAGTTTTATAGGTTTATTGAAATTTCGTCAAACTCTATGAATGTGACTAGGATTTTAAAAATGATTAGACTTCCCGTTTGGACGTCGCTTCCTGACTGCTTAGCAAACGTATCCGTTCGCAATTTTGCAGTGTAAACCTAAATACCTGGGATGTCACATGATGTTAAAGGAGACTGAGTCATAGCAGCTCCACCTCCGGCGCGCATGTCAGAGAGTATAATTTATACCTTTAAAAATCATTTGCATGACTATACTTAACCTCTACCGTAAGTTACAACCTTGGGACTAAGTTGTTAAGTGACGAGTGAGTAATAGTGGACCAGCTAAAAATTTAAAAATTGACTTTAAAAGGGTTGTTTTTGTTAATAACTGGCACTCATGCTACATCATTGTACCTGTGGGTGAAGAATAAAATGTGATGTTAATATTCTCTTAGGTTACAACGTTAAAATTCTCCTACAATTTTTTATGCTAAAAGTCGGTCCAAATCTAACGTGTTATTATTTCCTCAATCTCTTTAGTTTACGGTGTTAATATATTCTATGTTAATATTCCCTTAAAGTGTATTGTATTAATATTTCCCTTAGAATTTACTTATTAAAAGTCCTTTAAAAATTTACATTGTTATTATTTCGGTAGATCTTACTCTGCTAATGTGCTCGTATGATTTACTTTATTAAATATTTCCTTATAAAATTCTATATTAACATTCAGTTAAAGTTCACCATGATAATATTTGACTAAAGTTGTCCAATTCAATATTTTCTTATTAACTTTGCCATATAATTATTCCCTTAGAGTTTATCCCAAGTTCATATATTCCTATTCCCTTTCAGTTTGAAGGTTAATTAATAATTGTTTCTCCCCTTCCCTTACCACTTCCAACAGACGGAACCCCGGAGATAGGAAACCCTAGAAACGGAACCCCGAAAATACGAAACTCTAGAGACGGAACCCCGGAGATATGAAACCCTACAAACAGAACCCCTGAGAAATGATATCCCAGAGAAGCTGAACCCCGATGATATAAAGCCCCAGTCAGACAGAACCAGAGTTGATATCCCTGAGAGGTGAAGCCCCTAGAGACGAAAACCCCCGAAACCGAACCCCAGTAAGACAGATCCTTGGTGAAACCTAAATCCCCAGAGAGGCTGACTTCATCTTAGGTCACTGAGAAAGATCCTGGACCAAGACGACGCCCACAAGAACAATTCTCATATCTGAGTAAGGTTATTGATAGGTGGTTGTGTACCTCTACAGCCTCCTGCTAAGAAAATTAAAGGACAAACAAGAATAAGGCCGTGTTTATCCCTCTTTGCATGTGTATGTTTCTATTTATTTAATTATTTACGTAATCTAAGATTTACTGACAAATAACGAGTCTGATAAACTTGTACATATAGACAACTCTGATTACTGCTTTATATATTGTGTATATATATATATATATATATATATATATATATATATATATATATATATATATATATATATATATATATATATATACATATATATATATATTTATATATAGAACAAGCTGAAATACAAGTGAAAACAGACAACAGCAAGATATTTTTTAAAAATGTCTTTAGTAATAGACCAAATTTGGCTCAAGATGAAGGTATGAATACCCAAAACCACTAAACTGTAACTTGTGTGAAAAAAAAAATTAACTCACCAACAAATATGACGTAACAGGTAGACGGAATCCTTTTGGTTATATAAAGAATCAAGATGGGGAGATTGCAGGAAACCGATGAATGACTGACGAGTTAAAAAGACTTAGGAAGATCAGCGAGAGAGGAAACTAGTTAGTTTTAGAGTCTTGTGAAATCGTATCAGAGCAGCCACCAGAAATGAGACAAGATATAAGTATGATGAAAGATAAATCGGAGAATGAATGGCTGAGACAGAAGTAGAAATGGTTTAAGATATAATTAAAGTGATGGATTATGTATCAACTAAAAAGCCGCAGAAACTGAGAAACAAAAAGTAGCGATTGTCAAATAAACGTGTCACCGAAATGCCGGAGAGACTGTAAAGGAAACATTATAGGCCATCAATGATAACCAAGAGAAAAAGAACTAGTGATTGAATTAAGAAATAAACAGATGAACCCAAACAATACAACAAAGGCTTAAGGATAACAGTACATCTGAGTTAGGGAAATATAACGACCACAACACAGACGAAGACATAACTGATACACCAGAAGCGCCATCCAAGCAAGCAAGAAGGTCCCTGCAGGAGCTGGGTGGAGGAGGCAATCGGCCATGATCGTGGACGCGGTGAGGGTGTCTTGCGGGTCAGACGGTGTGATGGCCGAGGATGATCCCCTCCGTCCCCCCTTCAGTCCTCCAGACCCTGGCCACAATCCCAGCGAGGCCATTCCCTTGTCGGCTGAAGCCCGGCTACACCCCCACAATCCCAGCAATGCCAATTCCACTGCGGAGGCCAGGCTTCACTCAGAACCCCAGGCCAGCCTCATAGAGACACAGCAGCAGGATCAGAAGTGCACCGGGAAGAATCTCTCTGGGGACACTAAGGTAAGCTCTTATGTTCCTGTCATTGGACGGTGGGAATATGTTTGTTCTCGCTGTCGCTGATCTTGTGGTATGTACTATCGTGGACAAAAGTTCGCTCCCTGTAGTGAAACTGAGACACGGGAATGAGTCTCCGAACTGACTTACCCTGATTGTTATCTGGTGCGGGTGTGCTGTGCGGGTCGATACTGCTTCAGTTTGGGAAGGAGTAACTTTTGTCCACGATAGTACAGTCACTCACAAAAGTCCTGTCGCCTCTTCTCCTGAACCACGAACTCTGAGATTTAGACTCGTAAATCCAAAGCAGTTGTGGACAGAATAATCCGCCAGTATCTACTGCTTCAAGTTCACGAGTCTGAATTTCAGGGTTCGTGGTTCAGGAGGAGAGGTGACAGGACTCCGTAAGAAGTTTAACTTAAATTTTAATCTTCAGGAGCCACGTGATTATAAAAACAGCATCTTTGCAGTCTGTTTTCTGTACTTGTCTAAAAGCTCATCATGTTGTGTCACATTCTGGAGTGTAATAAGGAAGTGGTAACTTTCCATATAACATTATTCATCTGCAAAAGTAAAATAATATTTAATGAATCAATCCTTAACGAGGCCATAATTGTGTCTGAATTAGAATGATGACCAATTTTGTGATGTTAAGTTGTATGTGAATGGTTGTGTCCCCCCAGGGGTGCGGAGGTGAGGTGTGTGAGGGCTGCCACGACGTCATCGTCGACCGCTTCCTTCTGAGGGTCAACTCCCGCTCCTGGCACCAGACCTGCCTGAGGTGCTGCGTCTGTCAGCTGGCCCTCGACCGCCAACCTTCCTGCTTCATCCGCGAACACAACGTTTACTGCAAGACTGACTACACCAGGTGAGTGTCACGCTGTGTACTACACCAGGTGAGTGTCACGCTGTGTACTACACCAGGTGAGTGTCACGCTGTGTACTACACCAGGTGAGTGTCACGCTGTGTACTACACCAAGTGAGTGTCGCGCTGTGTACTACACAAGGTGAGTGTCACGCTGTGTACTACACCAGGTGAGTGTCACGCTGTGTACTACACCAGGTCTGTGACCCGCTGTGTACTACACTAGGTGTGTGACCCACTGTGTACTACACCAGATGTGTGACCCACTGTGTACTACACCAGGTGTGTGACCCGTTGTGTACTACACCAGGTGTGTGACCCCTGTGTATTACACCAGGTGTGTGATCCGCTGTGTACTACACCAGGTGTGGTCCCGCTGTGTACTACACCAGGTGTGTGACCCGCTCTGTACTACACCAGGTGTGGTCCCGCTGTGTACTACACCAGGTGTGTGACCCCTGTGTATTACACCAGGTGTGTGATCCGCTGTGTACTACACCAGGTGTGGTCCCGCTGTGTACTACACCAGGTGTGTGACCCGCTCTGTACTACACCAGGTGTGGTCCCGCTGTGTACTACACCAGGTGTGTGACCCCTGTGTATTACACCAGGTGTGTGATCCGCTGTGTACTACACCAGGTGTGGTCCCGCTGTGTACTACACCAGGTGTGTGACCCGCTCTGTACTACACCA